AATGGGCAATGGAGCTATGCCCTTTCTCCTTGGAATTTGCAAGCCGTACTACAATCAAGTCTCAAGCACTTGTCGATTTCATCGTCGAGTGGACAGACTTAAGCACACCTGCCTCTTAGAGGCCCGCCGAGTATTGGAAGATGTACTTCGATGGCTCTCTCAACATCTACGGTGCAAGAGCACGAGTCCTCTTCGTGTCGCCATCTAAGGAGCAGCTCCGATACGTCCTCAGGATTTATTTCCCGGCGTCTAATAACGCTGCCGAGTATGAAGCATGCCTACATGGTCTGCGCATTGCGGTCGAGCTCGGTGTCAAACGTCTCTATGTCTACGGGGACTCGACTCTGGTTATCAACCAACTCAATAAAGACTAGGATACGACCAGTGAAAAGATGGATGCATACTGCAAATTGATCAGAAAGCTAGAAGGCAAGTTCTATGGCATCGAGTACACACATGTGGTCTGGGACAAAAATCAAGCAGCAGATGCGCTGTCAAAGTTAGGATCATCCCGAGCGAAAATCCCACATGGCGTATTTGTTCAAGACCTGCTCACGCCTTCCATCGGAGAGGAAGATACCACGGTCGACAAGCCTCCAGACCAGCTATTGGTGGCTGCGATTCTGGCGTCAAACACCACCAAACCACCACCGACCACTAAGGAGCCTGACTGGAGAGTACCTTTCATCAAGTACCTGATAGATGATAGCAGTTACATCGATCGGATAGAAAATGAACGCCTGATGCGTCGCAGTAAGCAGTATCTGCTCGTCGATGGCAAATTGTGGCGCAAGAACGCAAAGGAGGAAATCTTGATGAACTGTATAACCCAGGAGGACGGTGAACGTCTCTTGGACCAAATCCACTCTGGCTCCTGTGGCAACCACGCGGCCTCAAGAACGCTGGTTGGCAAGGCTTTTCGAGCAGGGTTTTATTGGCCGTCAGCTGTAGCCGATGCAGAGAAGCTAGTCCGTCATTGTGAGGGTTGTCAGTTCTTTGCCAAGAGAATCCACGTACCAGCACACGAGATTCAGACAATACCAGCCTCTTGGCCCTTCGCATGCTGGGGACTGGATATGATCGGGCCCTTCAAGCTGGCCCCCAGGAAATTTACATGCGTCTTTGTGTTGATCGACAAATTTTTCAAGTGGATAGAGTACATGCCTCTGGTCCAGGCATCTTCAGAAAAGGCTGTCGCATTCATCGACCAGGTGATCCACCGCTTTGGCATACCCAACAGCATCATCACTGATCTGGGTACTCAGTTCACCGGGAACGCTTTTTGGGACTTCTGCGATGAAAGGAGCATAGTAGTGAAATACGTCTCGGTGGCGCACCCTAGAGCTAATGGACAGGTCGAGTGAGCAAATGGCATGATCTTAGATGCACTTAAGAAGAGGATGTGCAGGGAAAATGACAAAGCTCCCGAAAGATGGCTCAAAGAGTTACCAGCCATGGTCTGGGGTCTCAGAACCCAGCCTAGTCGCAATACCGGCGTATCACCATACTTTATGGTTTATGGCACTGAGGCAGTGCTCCCAACTGATATAGCCTTCAGATCAGCACGAGTAGAGAATTTCGACGAAGACAAGGCCAATGAAGTACGGGAGTTATAAGTGAATAGTGCAGAAGAGAAGCGGCTCGATTCCTGTATACGTACGGCAAAATACTTTGCTGTTTTGCGCATGTACTACAACAAGAACGTTAAGGAGTGATTCTTCGTGGTTGGGGACCTGGTCCTAAAGTGGAAGACGAATCAGGCTAGTGTCCACAAACTCGCAACTCCATGGGAAGGGCCCTTCGTGATCAATGAGGTTACACGACCAACGTCATACAGGCTAGCTCACCTGGACGGTACAGACATACCCAATTGATGGCACATCGACAAGCTTAGGCATTTCTATGCTTAACTACTAACATATGTACTCCTCTTGTACTTTCGATTTAATTCAATAAAGCTACTATGATTTCTCCGACCACTCTAATGTGTCACTTTGAAGTCTATTGTTATTCTAACTCGATCAGTCAAAACCGGCCACCATTCCTTCCCAGGTTTTCGGAGCAGGCCTTGTCTCTGGTTCCTCCCAACGCGTGCATGGGATTTGCTCTCTACGCTACGGGTGATCGGCAGGTCCCCTCTGGTTTGACTTGTGTGCGTCTACATGTGCACAGGCTACGCACCTCACACTCCGACCACAGGGCAAACCAGGGCCATACAAACCTTTCAGGATGACGTATCGACTAAACTGGTACAACTAAACAGAACGCTAACATGTTCTCACTTAGTTACACCAACACGATATTCAAGCTTGAATACGTTTTCTACAAAACAAACAAGCTTATGCAGATATACAGTTACGTTATTACAAGCTTGCCTGAAAGGGTCCAAGTTTACAATAAGACAACTACATCTTCTTCCACAGCTATAGCCTATACTATTGGCTGGTCGGGTCACGCGGCACCTGCTACTTGCCAGGCCTGACATCGTGCTCGAGTCCCAGGGACTCTTGTACTGGTCGAGCTGAAGAAGATGGCCCCACCGATGCCTGGCTGGTCGAGACCGCAGGCTTCGCCGGTTGGCTCAAAACTGATGGCGCTTCCAGCTGACTTGTTGATGGCGTACCCTATACAGGTGTTGTCCCGCCTCCACACAGGTTAATGTCGCCAATTATTTTTGCCGACAAGTCCAACTAGGTCATCCGAAGCTCCTCAGCCTTGTCTGGATCTACCTCCTTCGGGTATCCAGCCTCTAGGCGTTTAAGATCGATCAAGGGGTAGTGAGCACGCACCATGCTTAGCACATGTGCGCCTGTGTACTCACCCGCCTCCTTCACGAACTCTTGGAACCATCCCCATGCCTTTCAGCATCTATCGACCAGTCCGAGCTGTGGCGTCCTTGGCACATCCTCTGTAAGCGCTAGATCAATAAGATTGAGGACTGGCAGAATGCTCGTTGCCACTTCCTGGCACCGGTTTTTCCACGTGTCCCGATCCTCGGAGATCTCTTGGCACCGTGCCTTCCAGCCGTCACGATCTTTTATCACGGCCTCCAGATGCTTCTTGGCATTGACTTTTAAAACTACAAACCGCACAAGACAATAAAACGTCGTACCACGACAAGATAAGGCGGGCAACAACAGTGAGCAAAAGGGTCTGGAACACTTGCTTTTCAGTTCCTCTTTCATTTTGGTCGTGTGGTCCCGAAGCTGCGACTGGTCGTGCGCCAGTTTCCTATTGTCCTCCTTCAGGTGATCACACTCTACGACCGCACGACTATTCTCCAGTGTGAGAGGGCCCACATTGACGCACCTCCTTACAAGTGCCAAGTGACTGTTTGCTTGAAAGGATAAGAAGGCAGTATGACGTGTTGTACTTGTCTACTTTTTTTACTAGACGTGTCATATTGGACTGGACAGAGTAAGAAGATAAATAAATACGCCAAATAATAATACAAGTGGCATTTGGTTCTTCGCCGCACGTCTCGTGCTCAGGGATGGCCCAGACCACTACCGTGCTCGGGTACTGCCCAGACCACTACCGTGCTCGGGGACTGTTCAGACCACTACCGTGCTCGGGGACTGTCCAGACCACTACCGTGCTCAGGGACTGTCCAGACCGCTACCGTGCTCGGGGACTGCTTCGACCACTGCGGTGCTCGGGGATTGTTCTGACCACTGCTTGAAGATCGCTCTCCTCGGCTACATGTGATTTGGACTTATATACAGTCGAGAGGCATTTATTTGGACCTTGCTACAAGGCTCATACCTCGCCTTCCAGCAAGCTTGGGGACTACATCGGTACGATGCACCTGCCGGTGCATCTTGTATCGCCTGTACGACGATTGGATTCTTAACTTAACTGGGAATTCTTTTTTAGACCCTGGCACCACGTGCCTACGTCACCTACTACCAGACTCGGGGACTAAGTGGGCACACTTCATCTTGCCGTGAATGTGTTTATCTTATCGACCCCTACGCTTTGACTGATTGCCAGAATTACTATTGTCCAAGAGGCACTTACATTTCTTTTCAGAAATACAAGTGAGCACACTTGATAAGGAAAGAAATATTTTTCTTTTTCTTTAAGAGCACCATGTATTCTTCGGACAATCGGAATCTTCGGCTATAATCGTGGTTTACTGTTCTCTGTTCTGACTAGAATGTTGGCACATTCGGTTGGACAATGTTTCAATCAGTTGGAGATGACATGAAGACGGATTGCATTAGTCGAAGGAGATCGAACGGCGTGTCGCAGCATAATACATGGTGCTCGGGGACTAGCTGTGGGGGTATTAACCCCTATACCCTTATGGCTAGGCTCGGGCTGGCCTGGACTAGGGGATCTGGCTCACTAGAAGATGACGCGCGGTCCAGCCAATCTGTTTGGAGTCCCGCGTAAGGAATTAAGGCAGATTTGGAGATCAAGCAAGATCCTGGTCGGTTAGAATAGGAATCCTTATCCGGCCATCTATGGCAATTGTAACTGATTAGGATTAGTTTCCAGATCTGTAACTCTGCCCCCCAGACTATATAAGGCGGGTAGGGGACCCCTCTAGAAAACACATCTCATTGACATACAACAATACAATCAGACGCAGGACGTATGTATTACGCCCTCACGGTGGCCGAACCTGAATAAAACCTCGTGTGTCTTGCGTCATCATCTTGTTCGTAGCTTACGCACCTGACTGCCGACAATCTACTACCTTGGGCATACCCCTAGATAGACTGCCGACCATATTTCGTCGACAACCAGTCGCACGGAAATCACAGCAAGCATCTAGGTAAAATGGCAAATTAGTTCTGCTAGGTTCTTAGCTATTAGCTAGTCTATTACTCATACCCACTAATGTTTCTCTGTTTCCGCGTTTCTGTTATTCTCCAAGAGTATTCATAATTGCTGGTCATCATCAGGAAAGGAAACTGATTAAGCTTTGAGATATTGTATGTGCAGTTAGTCATAATTTCCAAACTGCAAGCAAAAGCTATGGGGTCTCGTGCATGACCTCCCTCAGGAAACTGAAGAAACAGTCCTCTGGGTTTCTCGTCAACAACAACTGCGTCTTTGGTGTCGAGTTCATCAAAGTCACCACTTCGAAAGCCAACAAGACGTCAGAAACGCTGTTTGTTCAAAAGACGAGCATCTCCAACGCGCCCAAAACTTACACTTGGGACATTGAGGACTTCTTTGCACTGAAGAACCCCGACTATTCTCCGGAGTTCGAAGTCGGCGGATACAAATGGTGATGCCATCTTCAGCTTGGAATGCTTGACATGACTGAATACTGTTGATTTTATCTGAATTGTCTTACCAAAAAATTTGTCCATTCAGTGCTATTATAGTTGTTCTATACATCATGAACTGAATCGTTACATACTATCTGATTCGCAGGTATATCAGTATGTATCCATCTCGTGAAGGGAACCATCTCTCCTTGCATCTGAACCTGAAAAAGACCAATGATCTCCCCAATGACACTGGAAACCTTGTAGAACTCACTTTATCCATCAAAAAGAAGGAAGCTGACAATCGCCGGAAAGGAACAGGTTCGTATACCTAGCAGGATTTTCTTATGCGCAAGAATCTAGATGCCAAATTATCATTGCGTCTTAATAACTTATTTTGTGGGGAAAATGTAGGTCGGTGCCAGTTCTCACGGAAGGCTCGTAGCTGGGGATGGAGTAAGTTCATTTCGCTGGAGGATTTCAAGGACTCGTCAAATGGTTATCTCGTCAAAACTAAGTGCTGCGTTGAAGTCGAGGTTGCAATCATCGGTTCCTCTGGGCAGGAATCTGGCTGAATCGCAGTTGTGCAAATGTATCTGTGCATGTGTCTGCCTGTTCGTGCCACAGATACTGAAAGTGTGTAAAATGCCAGATAATAGTTCAGACATGAAAATATCCTCAGTTTGCCAAATTGCTCGTCATGCTTGTTGGTGTTAGTTTGATCTACTGGCAATCGCATCTGTTTGTAGTGTGTGTTGATCCCATTTCCAGTGAATAAACACAATCTAGAAATTTTTCAGTTTTTCCCTTACAGATGCGTGAGTGTGTTTGGTTTGGGGACTTAGTGTGATGGGATGGATCTAACCCAGATTAAGTCAGTTTGGTTGAGGGATGACCATGTTTTCTGTTTGGCACGAGTAATAAAGAAAAATAGGATGGATAGAATTTTAGCACAGTCATCTACAGCATGTGAGTCTCACATGTCCCAGTGGGTCCCACCAGCCAAACTTATCTTTTTCCCCTTCTACTGCTAGCCGCATGCACGGTCACCGCCGACTCACACGCACCACCGCCACCACGTTCACCATCTTCGTCCGCGGTACGCCACATGCACCACTGCCACACCATGCATCACGCACCACGAGCGCTCGGCCGGCTGCCCCACGCCAAGCTCCGTCGTGGCTGGTCACCTTTCTCATGCCAAGCTCCGAGCCACGGCCGCTGGCCGCTGGCCGCCCCGCACGATGTTCCATCTCGTGGCCGTTCGCCGCCCCCAGGCCAAGATCCATCATGGTCACGCCACGTCCCAGCCCATGGCCGCCCACCGCCCCTGCGCCACACACACTGAAGTTCTAGTTTGAGGAGTAAGTAGTGACATGAGAAAAATTAAGTATAGTAATACCAGTGTTATTATCTCATCTTCAAGAGTTCTAACATAAACTTGGTAAATCAGCTGAGTATTCCAAGAGGCTAAAATAAGTAGGGAACTTAGTTATTGCCTTTCTCTCTGATCGTTCTTAATAATATACTCCTAAAAAAATAAAAAACGAGTCTATCTCACTACGTAAAACAAAGCACATCACAGACGCACATTCAGGCACATCACAGACGCGCGTCATAACACGTCTATAATAAGTCTTATTACAGATACGCAAAAAGCATGTCTGTAATAAGCACATACTACAAACACGTGTTATCAATATGTGACTGTGACAAAAACGATCACGCGTCTGTGATAAGCCCTTAATATAGACTAGTGAGTATCTACACGCGTCTGCAATAAGCTCTTACTGGAGCCAACACATGTCCACGACAAGATTAAGACACGTATGTGTGAAGAACCATATCTCAGACGCGTGTCTGTTATACGCGTCTATAGTAAAAATCGTACTACAGATGACATTTGTAAACGTGTCTGTGTGAAAAAACATAGTGCCGACGTGTGTACAATACACGCGTCTATAGTAAGAATCCTACTACAAACAATGTTTGTAAACACGTCTGTGTGAAGAAACATAGTGTCGACGCGTGTATAATACACACGTTTGTAGTAAGGATACTACTACAGACGATGTTTGTAAACGCGTCTGTATTAAGTAGCATACTACAAACTCGTATTCTCTACACGCGTCTATAGTACTTTCCTTACCACAGACGAGTCTAGGCTACAGACGAGTCTGTAGTAAGAAAAATGCTACAGACGCGTCTATAGCCTAGGCCCGTCTATAGCCCACAGCATAGCCCAAATAACACAGATATACACATATCATAGATATATATACACAGATCTCACAGAAATGACATATACATACAAGATCATAGTTGTTCGTCTCAAAACTTAATTTGTTCACAGTACACATATCACGCATAGTTCACAGATCGATTGTTCATCACCAGGTTATTCTCACATGTATATAGCTCACAACTCCAATTGTATCTCACAGGCTCCAAACATAGTTCACAGATCAAATGAACATATATACTAAGCACTTCATCATGGTTTTGTATGTGAACAATGAAACTCACCTATTTCGTCGAGGATCTGAGACATAATAAATGAGGCGAGCTTCTCTCTAATGTCCACAAAGTTGATTGAAGTGAACTGCACTTCAAAATCATAAGACAAAGAAAGGTAGTCATAAGATGAAGTTGCACATGTGTATAGCCATCATCCATAAAATGAAGCTGCACAACAAGAGATGACAATATATATACATGACAGCAGCAGTATCAAAAATTACAAGTAAATATATATAAGCCAGCCATAGTCTACAAAAGGGTCATAACAACAGATCACAGCAGCAACTTTATCTTGTTCTAGATCACAGCAGCAGTTTTAAAAATTGACAGCAGCAGTATATATGACAACAGGAGATCAAGGCATTCCAAGTAGATCACAGCAGCTGAGCAGTAATAAATACATATATATTTGCAGTTGTACTTGAGGATCAGTCAGATTGGCCTATGCCATCGCTAGCATCAAGTGGTGCCCCGCAAAGAACCCACATGTGTGGTCTAGACCTTGCTGCTGGCACTACGAACATAGAAAATACATAGTTAATAATTGAATTGACAAAATGACTTTACAACTGGAAGTGAAACACTACTTACTGGAATTTTGAATGAATGGGTCAACTTCAATTTTCTCTGCCCTTTCTTCGGCTTGGGTTGGCAATTGCCAAAAGCCCTACAAATACATAAGTTGTTATCAAATTGTTTTGACTTTCGCTAACATAATTAAGAAAGAAATATATAGATCAATACTAGGTTAGACAATACTCACTCATCTATCACAGATTTGATAGGAGTCAAATCTGACTTCTTGCCTCTATTGAGTGGAGGTATATCACCTTCTGCCACATTCGAGCGATGATGACAGCAATCCAGTGCCCACCATAGTTATGTGCAAACATCACAAACTTTTTCTTGGCATATTTCCTTAGGCAATATTCCAAATAATCCACGCTATAGCCTCTATCAGTGTTCATAGTCTTTATTGACACTGGATCTAGATCAATAATGCCAACAGGCACATCTTTGGCCCTAGCTTCTACAATCAGGCATCTTGGAATAAAGAAGCATATAAAAGCAATTTAGCAAGCAAATATATGAAGAGCATCCCTAGCTAAAAATGAACAAGCCCAGAAAATAGATGAAATTGTACTTACAGTGACAACACGCGAAGATGTCCTACATCCAATCCATCAAGTTTAAAGAGGTCAAACAAGTCTTCTAATCCCACAACGAAAAACTCAGTGTCTACCAGACGCCAAAAATGCTATTTCTTGAACACAGCAACCATCCCGGTTGTCCTGTTCTCTTCACATCTTTCATGTACCAAGCATGAAGAGCAACACACCTAGGTCCTACCTTCTCATGCTCTATTTCTGCTAGAAATCGCTCTCTAAATTTGAACTTGGCGTTGGCCCTGTTCCATATAGAACCCCAGGGTCACTCTTATATGATTTGGTGGGTTTCTCCACCTTCTGCTGCTGCTCCAGTTTGCTGTCACTCTTGACTGCTGCAAGCTATTTTGGTGGGTTAGCTGGAGCAGTTGTGGAGTTAGCCTTCTTCGATTTTGTCGGTGGGTCAGCTAAAGCAGTTATGGACTTAGGCTACTCCAATGCTACATCAGTCTCCTTTGAAGCACTCTTTTCTACAGTAGTGCCACTGTTCGGCTCGTTAACAGTTGCACTCTTAGAGGCACTACTCTTTGCCTTCTCATCGCCTATCACAAAGTCCTTTAGATTGCTTTTGGAGCTCACAGTCAGTGAATGTCTTGATAACTTTAGAGAAGAGAGCACCTTTGGTAATACCACAATCTGGCCTCTCCTCCACCGGTGAAAGGTCCTTGTGTGGTTTTGGTAATTGAGTGACAACCTAGGTGGACGAATTGTGTTTATGTGAGATACATATGTGATTAGTCCACAGGTACATGTGTGTGTGAGCAACATATGCCATGAAGGTGGAAATGGCTCGAAGATGTTGCAAAGCTCACACATGTGATGAAGAAGGAGCTCATTGCACATGAGACATGACATTGGGTCATGTGATCAAGGTGGAGAAGATCAAGACAAGACTTAGCTTGATGGACCGGTTGCAAGAGTGAAGGGCAAGTAGGAGGCTTTGGAGCGATGGACCATGTGGCGGTGAAGCTTGAACAAGACTTGGCTCCAATGGATGAAGGCAATGGTGAAAAGCAAGTGAAGTCAAGATCGATGAACCAATATAGTCACGTGATCATATGAAGTGGATCATATCATTTGGTAATTGGTTGGTGCATGTGTTGCATCAACAATGGAGGAGATAGAATGGAATGCGCAAGGCAAAGGTATAACCTAGGGCATTTCATTTCACCGGTCAGGTGTGTAAAGAAGTTGATGACCGGGTTTAGGATAGATGGCTGTACTATCAAATGGGGGCAAACTTGTTTGCATATCGGTCATCTAGTGCCATTCGAGTGATCTAACTTTGCATCGTCGCTAGGATCAAGTGGCGTGGCAAGTTGAGTGGCTAATCCTTTGGAAAATGATTGTGAAAATGCTAACACACATACACATGGTGGTGTAGGCACATTTACAAAGGAGATGAAGTTAGAGTTTATGTGGATCAAGTTGGTGATGAAATAGAGTCAAGAAGGGGTCACTGTGAGTGACCGGACGCTGGTCTTGGTAGGACCGGCGCGTCCAGTCAGTGGCAGCAATGAGAGTGCGGTCTCATGACCGGACGCTGGCGTGAAGAGTGACCAAACGCTTAGGGCCTATGTTCGGTCAGTGTTGATGTACGCTGACGTGGTGGCATAAGGAACAGCAGTGACATGTGGCAGTTGGAGAATGACCAGACTCAGGTGCTGCGTCCGATCCTGCAGGAGCAGACACGTCCGGTCGCAAAATAGAGGCTTGGGGAGCTCGCTAGAAATGACCGGACTCTGGCTGGTCTGCGTCCGGTCGTGCAGCACCGAACGCGCCCGGTCGCAAAACAGAGGCTTGGGGAGCTCTTTGGAAATGACCGGAGTCAGGCGGTGGCGCGTCCAATCTTGACAATGTGCTGCGTCCGGTCGTCATGTGACTGTTGA